ATGTCTTTCGAGGTGATTGGGTATGTCAATGGACGGTTCGCTTGGCTCGAAAAGTTGTTATTCAAACAAGACATCACCTATATGCTACAGTATATTTTTGAGGCGTTGGGTATATCTTTCGTACGCCTTGCCTTTGTCAGTTTACACGGTACACTTGATTGATTGATATTGTAATAGTTCTCATAGCAACGTGGTTCAGTCCAATAACCATATAACCTATGTTCAGGCGAAGGAGGCCACGTGCCTATGACGATTACGGATGACACAATAGACAACTATGAATTGATGCAACAGACAATTCTGGATTGACACAATTATTGGTAAATTGTATGAAGTCCACTAAGGGGAATGAAGATGAAAGCCACGAACCAAACTAGAAAACGAAGTACACAAAACTAAGAATCAAGTGCGAAGATGAAAAATCGAAGGCTTGAACGTGATATTGCTATCCTCAAACCATATTTGCTCCCTTTCGGATTGAAAATTATGCTTGAAGGGATTAAGACAAATGGTTTGTAGGATTAAACAAGCCTTATAAAGGATTTAACACTCAAACTTTAAGTGAAATCCTCCAAAAGTTGAAGAACACAATAAGAAATTTGATTAAACAAGTCTTGTAAAGAGTTAATTTCTATGCCTTTTGGAATATATATTGTTCGATAATGATTTTTCATCAATTTGCCTTGAACATGGATCACCTATTTATAACTCTCAAATGTCTTCTACGAAATGGTGTCAAAATGTATGAAAAGCCACCAAATTAAAAAACACGACGACAAAAAAAGGCTTAAAAATTGACTTATGCGGTCGCATAGGCCAATCCTATGCGACCGCATACTTAAAATCAATATCGAGGCCTCAAGTCCTAGTATTGGTCTATGCGGTGGTCGCATAGTTCAACTATATGGCTTCAATCCCCTTTTTTATTCCTCATCCATTTTATCAATTTTGAACAATATTTTTCAACGACAATTTAGCTCGATCAGCGAGCTGTTAGGAAGAGGTCATGTGTCAAACATTTAATGGACATCAACTCATCTTTTTTTTTTTTTTTTTGTACTGTAAATACTTACTCTTAGTGATATCCAAAGGTAATGAAATATTTGTAATTTCAATCCAGCAATCGCATTAATGTTCATTGTCTCTTTTACATTCAAATATTCATTATCATTTGACTTGAGCATCGAAGTTATCGTGATCACTCACTCGTCGAAGCTACGGTTCCATGCTGTCTAACATCGATATATAAGTGTATAGGTAATATACACGTAAACGAGAAAAGAGTTTGATCTATATCTCAACTCAACAATTTCTATTATTAATAGTAAGGCTCATTAATTTATAATTTATACGAATCGGTTTGTGAGTTGTCAGGATGCACCAAGATCTTATTTCATTATCTTCTCTCTATTATTCACGTGACAAACATTAAAGACATCATATGGTACATGTTAAAAGATGGCTTATGGTACGACCACTGTACCTTACACCGTTAAATGTGTGAAAATTTTATTATTCATTACAATTTTTTCTTGAATAGAAAATTATCTGCCCTTTGATTGTAAGATAGTCGTGAAATTTTAATGTTTTCGATATTAGTTTTCTTTTTTTTTTTTTTTTAATTTAGACCCTGTTTGGTGGATATTAAAATCAAATTTGTAATAGATTTTGACAGGAGTTGATGAAATTTGTAATTGAAAAGTTGTGTGTCCAGTAAAATGTATGGTTAAAATTAATTATTGATTTTGACTTGAGATTTTAATTGA